GTGGCCGGCGACGCCGCGGCGAAATCGAACATGACGCTACTCAGGTACTTACGTGTATTTGCTAGACGTCTTTTCCTTTGCAGGTGCAGGTGGCACTCAGCAGGAGGTTGGCAAAAAATTTCTACAAGATGGCCACGTGCTGTCAAGGGCTCTACCCTTCTAATATACCATGAACTCAAAGTCTCTACACTTCTGGCAAAGAAAACTGAGCTCCCTATCCCTTCTATGACCTTCAAATATATCAATTTTGTACGACCCCGTAGTTCAGTGGTAGAATGTGTGATTCCAGCGCGTACTTCCCGGACTTTTCTCAACTGAGCCACGGGAAAGTCCAGAGGTGGTTCCACAAGGTCATCCGTTCAATCCGGGTCGGGGTCAAGTTTTGCGTACCTAAAGAAAAGAAGTGATGCTCGAATCTGTCGGTGATTTCTTTTCTGATTTTTTTTTGGGGGTTTTTTGAATCACAGGAAGCCAAGGAAGCCATTTTGAAGAAAGCATGGGTCGAAGCGTGGGTGAGAGGACCTCCGGCCATGTACAGATGTGTTGGGGAGGATTTTTAATCCGAGGGAATGTTCAAAATTGCCGGGAGAGGAAGGCGAAATTTAGTGAATGAGAGGGGAGTGTCGATGGCTGGCTGCGGTTCATGGAATGGATGTGTTCGGGCTTTGGCCAACGCTTGGCTCTCTTATTCGGCTCAGACGTGCCTGAGGGCATCAAAGGTCATATTTTCTCAATTTCAATTGGGTTAATCCAGCAAATCGTGCACTTGAACCGACAAGACAAATCGTATACGTATCTGGCTCACCGTTAACAGCGGCAAGTCAGCGCGAGTGTCATGGATTCCAAACCGGCCCGGCCGGCCCCCTTCGACTAGTGGAATGAAACCACTAAGAGTTGCTGGTCCGCAATAATTTAGAAAGGATCTTGCATGACCTTACGATCTGTAGACAAAAGTGCTTGGCTCGCAATCGTCCTAGCCTGTGTGAGCACGCCTCGACCGCTCACGCGACACAACCTGACACCGCGCGTCGGCATCACGCGCCACCGCCTTACGCCAATCTTCCACCTACCCATCCTCGCATGCGATACCGCGTCTTAGACACCCTACGCGCGTGACGATAACCTCGTTGCGATATAAAAAAGGCCGAGTTCAACAAGAAAAAGTCGGCACCCCGTGCCGCCTCTCGCGAGACTTTGAGCTAGATTGAGCTAGAGTCGCGCGCAACGTCAGTGTCGCAAGCCTTTGCCCATTTGCATTTGAAAGCCACCGAAGCCCATGCACTATCAGGGCCTCGTGCACAGGAGTGTCCAAGACGTTCGAGCTTTGCATTGGTGCATACTATTCGGGGAGGCATCTGCATAGTCGGAGTCTGCACTTACGGCCATCATCGCGCCTGCCATCGTATACAGGGGATTCGAAGGTCTGGCAGTCGGAGACAGCACAATTTGGTCCCGCCAACGACTGTATGATATGCCATATCCGAGCTACTTCGGCACGACTGCTGATGGCTCTCAGAGTATAGTCGTCGCTGCACGAGGGACACCTTTTGGGTGCACGGGGTTCGCTCTGCGAACCGATGTCCAGATCAGGCCCGTAGCCTCGCCCGTTTTGATACTAGTCCAATGATAGGGAGAAGTCCTCCGGGAAAATCACACATCCTACCATTGAACTATGGGGCCTCCAAGTAACACTCCCTTCTGTCAATGACAAGGTCAATATTTCCACCGTACCACCACGTACCTAGCTGTGCATTTATACACAAAACAGCGATATGAAACTCTTACGTAGTGACTCTCTGGGTACATGGGTATTACTTGCGCAATAGCACCGGCCATCTTCGCCGTCGGAAGCATCCTTGCTTGCTTGTCAGCAGCACACGCAAGACTAACGACTTACAACATTGCTCCCCTCGCTCGCCCCCTCTTCCACCCTCTGTGCCTGACTCCAGGCGGAGTCCTGTGGCTGGAAAGTACGACACTGCGCGAACATAATCGGACGGCGGTTGTGAGCAGCAGCGCAGTATATAGCGGTAGCGAAGGCGCCGCTTTGCGGCCAAGTCAGCGGCGCGTCGGGCACAATTGGTCGCGGCACTGCAGGCAGTCGTAGAACAGACTAATGGGGTCGTGCATGCGACAGGAGTCCAGGAAGTGATTGCTGTTAGCATTGCACCACTCGACGCGGTGGTAATGCTGGAGTGGCAGCCGTGCTATGATCGCATGTTCATGTAGAACGGGGCGCATGTCGAGACAGGCCATGGGGCGGTGCGAAGAACCGTCATCCGGGTCGAGCGAGCGCGAGTGGAGGCGAACGCAAAAGTATGAGCATGCGATCAGCCGGCGAAAAGTTCCTGACGGAACGGACGAACGAGGGCGGACACTGGGCGGGGCGGACACCTCTGTGGAGCGGCTCTGGCGCATGCGACGACACAGCCTCCGCGCGGACTACGCTCGGTTCCGCGGCATCTCGGCTTCAAGTGGCCGTGATTGCCGCCAAGTCATCGGGACGCTTGCAAGGCGAACCGTGACACTTCTACTCATCGAATTCCGAATTCCCTCAAAGCAGAACTGTGCATGAATCCGGCAGTATTCGGGATCTCACTTTACTAGCAATCATGATAAGCATCTACTGCTAAAGAGATGTCACTTTATATCATTAGAGTCATAATCTCTACACCCCTACTCCTGCTCGATGGACACGCCGCGCTTGCCGTTCTTAGGAGGGGCGTGCGGTGTAGTGCTGGGGGAGTTGTTAGGACTGGTTGGCTCCGGCCCGCCGCCGCTGCGAGTCGCTTTGTGGTGCGTCCGCTTCTCCGCGCGCTTTCCGTTATTGGGAGGAGCGTGGGGAGAGCTGGTGGGGGGGCTGGGATCCGGCTCGCTCTTGGTCGCCTTGTGGTGCGACCGCTTGTCCTCGCGCTTGTCGTTCTTCGGAGGGGCGTGCGGTGTAGTGCTGGGGGAGTTGTTAGGACTGGTTGGCTCCGGCCCGCCGCCGCTGCGAGTCGCTTTGTGGTGCGTCCGCTTCTCCGCGCGCTTTCCGTTATTGGGAGGAGCATGGGGAGAACTGGTGGGAGGGCTGGGATCCGGCTCGCTTTTGGTCGCCTTGTGGTGCGACCTCTTCTCCTCGCGCCTTCCCGATCGAGGGGTCCGCTTGACAAACTCTGCAAGCACCGATTCCTGGGATGAAAGACAGATAAGCCAACTCCCGGAAAGGTCCAAGCGAGAATGCGACACGTACAGCGTTGCGGTTGGCAAGCGCGACCATGTCGTCTCTAGTCGCCACCGAATCCCCCGTGGTGGGAAGCGCAGTGATGCTAATGGTGGTGAGCACCATAACGAGGGCGGCAGTCAAGTGGAAACGCATGGTGGACTGTGAAAGAGAAGGTCAATCGACTTGGGATTCGCTTTGAAGGAAAAGCGGATGCGTACTGCTGGAGCTAATATCAACTGATCTGTGGATATTGGTTAGAGAAACGCAGTCGCATTCTCGAGACTTTATACTCGTAGAGACGAGCAGAGGCCACAGAATGAGAAACGGTGAAGTAATCCTTCCGCCGAAGAAAGCCGGTCCGTGAGCCATACTCCTGTACCCCCAAAGGCACGGAGGAAGGCCGTCCTCGTCGGAGCAAGGTGAAAGCCCTCGGACCTCTTCGCGTGGTCGTCAAGGATTTCTGTGCTGACAATACTGAGTCAGGGGACGGCTACATAGGTGGTGAATGTCACTTGTTGGAGCTCTCAGATCTGACCAGATCGAAGTTCACCATGCGTATTTCGTCATATCGTTGACAGTATCTGCCGTACATAGGCACGTTCAAGCCACTTCAAGATACCTGGATGATCGCCGGGTTGAGTCCGCGCCTGTGGCGGTGATCGACGAGGTCCAACCTATAGCTCTTTGTAAGCGTCCGATGTGGTTGGAGACTTCTCGTAACACTAATGGCACTGACTGGGGAAGCCCTCGTCATACATCTCCCGATTGGCGACGAGATCTAGGAACCCGCTTGGGGAGAGGAATCGCGTAGCTACCAGGATCCCTGAGGACGACAGTGGCCTGGCGTAGAGTATGCTCCCTGCTACAAATGCATGCCACAAACGTACGTACGTCAGCCACCATTGCCTCGCGGCAGTCTCCAATAGATCGAGAAGATCGAAAAGAATATTTTGTTGATAGTGAAGGCCAACCGGGTGCTGTTGAGTCAATACGGAGCGACCGACAGCGACAACGGTGATCGCCATTGTGCCAGTGGTCAGATTGGAACCCGGGGAATTCAGCCCACCTCTGGCTTCGAAGGTCTCTATGTTGAAACGCGGGGTGATCATCGTGATGCAAATCGACAGCAAAGGCACGAGAAGAAAGTAACGGGAGAAAAGACAGTGACCGATAAATGATAGGTCCTTTGTGTTCATACTGTAGCCGTCTATGCCATTGCCCAGACCCGCCACCATCAGGCGTCCGTATCAGGCGTCCGTGGAGGGGATCGAAGTGTCGTGAACGAGATAGTATTGATGGAGCCATGTGTAGCCATTGATGGTGATTCCGACTTGAAGTCCCACCAGAGGGTGAAAGAGATTTGGTTGACGAACCCCAACGACGCGCGTCGCCAGATTTGCACCTTCCGCGCACGGTCGGTCAACGGCGACGATGAGATGAGCAGACTCGTTGAGAAGCAGATTGTACAAGCAACGGATGCCGTCAATCATGCTCCATAAAGCCAAAGTATGAGAGTTTGCCGCACTGCGATACCGAAACTTGGAGAATCCATTCAAGTCGTCGACAGTAGCGCCAATCACTTTTAGACGCGGACCGGTGACGTATCAGAACACGTTTCACGTACGACGGAAGTGCACTCACATTCTGGAAGGCTGACAAGGCTGGTGCCAGTCGCCGCTAGTGGGAACTTCTGGGCTTCTAGCCCCCCAAAAATGCGGTCAGTCAGCCCAATAGTCGACACACCTGAGGAACACGAGACAATCGCAACCTATGGATGATAAACGCGTACCGATGAAGGTAATGTCTGGATGTTGTACTGTTTGCCGCCGTCGAACGAACCGGTCGCGTTCAAGTTGGAGTTCTGAAGTGAGCTCACGAAATCGTGGTGCCACGTCATCGCCAGTCGTCCTAGCTAGCGGTATCAACCAGCAAGTTGTTGACGAACAGGGATACATGGAAAGGAGAGAGAGCTCTACATATCAATGAGGTCCCTTTCGACGATAATGATAGAGGGTCTGCTCACAAATGGCATGCTTGAGCCAGTGCCAGACGCGACGAGCCGCGAACTGGCGGGCCGCCGATGGCACTGCGCGCTTAAGCTTGTGTAACGCACCCGCGCCTGATCCTCCAATATTCAGAGATACCCAACGCGCTGGTCATATTGAGTCCTTTA